GTATTATATATTAATAATAATGAGTACAATACAATTAGTAATGAAGAAAAATATAGATCCATCATTTTTCGTTGGTCCTTTAGTGCTCATTTACTCAAATTGCTTGAATAATGAGGTGTGTTACTTTAAATCAAGAATTAAATAAGTTTTAGATAAAAAAATTTATTTCATTATTTAATATGTATTTAATTGATTTAAGTATAAGTATTTGAATTGAGTTTTTATTTTATATTTTATATTAAAGTGGGACCCCAATTTTACATTTGGAACAGGGGCCTCCAAATTCATTAGACGGCTCTACCGCCCAGGTGCCATAAGCAACAAATAACTCACATTTATGCAGTGTCCTTTTTGGGTTTTTTGGGGTTGGAGAAACACATTACTCACAAAATTAAGGTCAAGCCCATAAGCAGCAAATAACTCACATTTATGGAGTGTCCTTTTTTCTTCAGAATTTTCATTAGTCAGCAGCTTAGCACAAATATTCCATGAACAATGAAATGGTCAAACAACATTTATGGCTGCAATAAGACTCAATCTTCAATGAAAAAGCAAAACAGATGCTCTAGACAAAATCAAATCGTATGATTCATTTTCATGGTGTCATGGGATAAACTTAACGGATTGGGTAGTGCTCCGTACTAATGAATCTTGAGACTGCCATAAATATTTTGATAGATAAAACTGGACTACAAGGCCACCATTGGTTCACTTGGATTTAAACAAAAAGCTACATGGAAAACGACCAAGTGAACACTCTAATTGGTCACTTTTTAAGAGTCCATTTGGAAACTTTGAAATTGATTGAATCGACTAAATTTGTCAAATTATGAGAAAATTATATTTAAAATATATTGTATTGATAATTTTAAGAAAAAATGTATGAAAATAGTTAAAGCATTCCTCTAAATTAATTTAGTCAATTCAACCAGAAAAAGTAACCCAACCTAACTACACAAACTTTGTGCAGTGAAATTAAAACTTATATGTTTTTGTATAAAAGTGAGTGATAAACCGAAAGTATGAGTTATGAAACGAGTTTTGAAAGTTTTGATGAAGTAAATGAAGCAGGATAGAATGATAGATGTTCAAACTCTATTTTGCTGGGATTGGAGACCTTTAATTTTCTTTTTATCACAAAAGAGAACATATATTATCCTAAATATCTATAAAAACTACACCTTAATTTTTACTACGTGAATATTTGCTTTAATTTGTTAACATTTGCGAAACAATGAATATATACACATTACATAAATTAACTATATTTGCATAAGAGTTTTTACCACTTTTAGCCCCCGACTATTTTGAATTTATCCTTTTTATCTTTATTTTCTTTCTTTTCCTTTTAGTGGTGATATCATGTATCAATTCATGTTAACCAACCCCAATATCTTTTGGGACTAATGCTTGGATAGTTGGATGTTGTTGACATGTTGTTGTTATTGTTGTTGTTGTTGTCATTTGATTATGGTGCGAGAGACATTTTTAGTGCTTGACATCAAAATTTTCTGCATTTAGTCCCCTTAGTATGCAAATTGATATATTAATCATTCGATTATAATTTAAGAAGAGTAAATGGGGGACTAAAAGTGTCACTGCGATAATAGTTAAACTGTTAAAGGACAAAAAGTTTTACTTTTATAAAAGTCCAATTATCAAAGGATTAAAAATGAAAATATTCAAAATTGAGTATAAAAAATGTGAAAGTTTAAAAGTGTCAAAAATTCATTGGTGTAAATAGCGGGAGTAACCGATTCTTTGTGTGAGCGCCACTTTTTTGGACAACTATACATTTTGATCTCGACCCCGAATGCAAACTGAAATTTGGATGGAGGTAAGGGATAAAATCTCACCCCTCAATTGATATCATCAATCAATTAAAGCTTGGCCAAAATCAAACTCATTCCCTATTTAGGCATTTTTAGGGGATCAAAACACATTGTACATTCTTTTAAAAGGTCCACTTTGTTTTCCCTCTAAAACGTCTATCTTAAATGAAATTCTAAATGTCTTTATTTTTATCTTAAAAGTAGATAAATCATATTTTTGATAAACCATAATTAGACATGTTTGTAGACTCAGCCCATTACTACTCTTATATAAAAAAAATCCCCTATATATAATGCGTGTGCAATGTATGCAATTAATTTAGAAAAGATTTAATTTATTGGCAGTGATATGATATACGGAGTACTCCGTATGATGGATCTACTTCAATATTTAAAATTGGTTAAAGGATCAAATAAGTCTTGAACTAACTTAAAAAGTGCAAATCACCTTTATATAGAGTCAATTCCCTAAATAGGACTAAAAAGTGGCAAAATTGCACAAATAGGACTACATTTTTTAAATTCCCTTAATAGGACTATTTATGTGTGTTTGGCCAAATATACCCTTGTAACTTGTGAAATGTTTTAATTAATAATAAAATCATACAAAAATAATAAAAATCGAAAAAAATACTAAAAATCATAAAAAGATAATAGAAAATTAATAAAAATATTTTTGAAAAAAATTAAAAAAAATATTTTTTTTAAAAAAAAAATAAAAAAAATCGTAAAATTAAAAAAAAAAACATTACCACCCCTGCCACCCCCAGCACCACCAGCTCCCATCACCGGAGAAAAATATGCCAACATTTTAAATAATGCCATAATGATGACATATTCAATGAAAATGTTGGCATATTGAAGAGTAATTATGCCATCTTTTTGGCATTTTCAGAAAAAGATGGCATTTTTTTACCAAAAGTGGAAGAAATTTCACCAATCGGAGGTGGTGGTGCTGGGAGGCGGCGGATGGCGGTGGGAAATGTATCCATAATTTTTTTCATTTTTTTATGGGTTTTTACTATTTTTTATTATTTTTTAAAAAAAATTTTAAAAAATAAAAATTAAATTTTTTATTTTATAAATGTTTTATAATTTTTTTACGTTTTTTAAATATTTGTTACGTTTTTTTATGATTTTATTATGAATTAAAGCATTTCATTATGAATTAATACTCTTAGGGGTATTTAGGGTAGAAAATCTATGTTTAGTCCTATTTGGGGAATTTAAAAAGTAGTAGTCCTATTTGTGCTTTTTAGGAACTCATTAGTCCTATTTAGGACAATTTCTGCTTTATATAGAAGACTCTGTTTGGCCATAACCATTTGGGGTGGTTCCCGGTGGAATATTTTGATGAAAATTATTGAACATCTTCTTCATTAAGTCTAGTTTACCCATACGAAATTTCAGATATAAATTCAACCGAGAAGACAGTCAAATGATTTTTTGAAATGTACTGTGCTGTTGAACTACGCAGTTATCTTCAAAAATTCATTTGACTGCCTTCCAGATTGAATTTTTAACTGAAATTTGGTATGCGTAAACTAGACTAAATGAAGAAGATGCTCAAAAAAATTCATCAAAAAATTCCACCGGGAACCGCCCCAAATGGCGACGGCCGGATAAAACCTCCTATATAAGAGATGATTTGCACTTTTTAAATTAGTGTGAGGACCTATTTGACGCTTTTGCGCGCCTTTAAAATTTTACAATAGATTCTTCACCATGATCAGATAATTCTAGCTTTAATGCTCACATGCACATTTATTAATTCTCTTAAGGAGATCAAATAATAACTTTTCCCTATTTAGTTAAAGATAGTGAATCACATCTTACATAAGTTACATTTATACCGTAGAACTCCGTATTTCTTAGTAAGAAGTTTTGAATTCAAGTAATGTTGGGGTGAATTTGTCAATGAAATTTATATTCTCAAGAATATAAACAATTTTCAGGGTCTGAGTATTATACCCCGTTTGATAACATTGAAATTGGTTCAATTGGCTGGTTCTGCTGAAATTTATGAAATTCTGTCTGAAGAGGCTAGATTGGCTGATTTTACTGATTTATGAAAACATTATATTTAAAATAAATTTTATTATTAAATTAAAAAAATATGAAAAATAGTTAAAATGATTTTTTACGGTAGCTTCAATCAATACAATCAGAAAAGTAACTACAATCTTACTTTTCTTATTATTACACAATTCGGCACGAGAAAAAAAAATTATGTGTTTCGTGAAAAAATTTGACTGATAGTCTATTAAGCCGAAAACCAGGATTACCAAACAGGCTCTTAATCTGACGAAGTGGGGACCACCTCGTGTTCATAAAAAACAAAAAAAAAGTGAAAGATACTCATTCATTTTTTTGAAAGGATACTCATATATATTATAATAAAGTGGGTGTAGGCACGTTTGATTAATTGGTTCGATAGCTTGTAAGGTTATTTTTTTAATTTGTAATTAAGAGGTAATAATCAAGTAATTTTGAAAGTATCTTTTGTTGTGAGTTGTGTTCTTTAAAGAGTTTTAACTTTAAACTACGCATACAAAAATAAAATAAAAAATAAAATAAAATATACGGAGTATAACAGTTTTTTTTGACATGATGAACATTAATTCAAATTTGATAAATACCATAAAGTAAATTAACCAAAAGACAAGCCAAGATTCAAGATAAAAGTAAACCAGGACAACATGGATTAGAGACCATTGGACCAAGAGATGTTTGGACATTGATATGGATAACAGTTGGTAATTTGAGTTTGCACCTCAAATTGAGATTTTGCTTAAGCAAATTGAGATTTTGCACCTCGTTTTTAAAAATATTTGTTTTTGCATCCCTAACCCTGTATGACAAGACAAAAATGCTTCACCATTAATAATTACGTTTGCCTTCAACATATTTCTAATTGAGGAGCATTTTTGTCTTTTCATATGGGATTGAGGTGCAAAAACAAAGTTTCTTAAAAACAGGATGTAAAGTTCAATTTCAACAATAAAATAAAGTGCAAACTCAAATTATACTATAACAGTTTTATTAACGGAATTTTGAAACAAAAAATAGGGTGGCTTAACTTGGTTGAATGTAATCGCAGCCTCTCTTTTTCAGAAAATCCAACAAACCCATGATTTGTTTCGCTCAAATATTAACCATTGCCAAACGGTCCCGAATGCCACGAAGCACACCATGAACAGCAATTTGGGAAGGAAATTTTGTCCATTTGCTCATCATCTTATTTTTCACGGTGATGAAGGAATGAAGTAAAGTAAGAATTCAATCGTGGCGACAAAGAACATCATCTTTCATAATCAGGAACTTTTTCCTCGGAACATATATTCACGATCAAAACCGCTTGTCTCGCTAAGACTATTCTCATTGTTCGTCGTATGTGATCGGAATCGGAGACTGGGTGTCCCTTAGTTATTATCGCCGGAGCATTTTTGCGGTGTTCCAAAGGTTGTAGCTTTTGGGCATTCATGGGTGATCTTAGAGAGCCCGTCGCGGTGGAACGGAGACCGGTCCCGCGAATACTATCACTGTCGCCGACGGCGAACCCGGACTCGTTTTCAATAGGGCAGGAGCGTTGGACCGCGGCGGAGAAAGTCTCCCAAGGCATCCTTCACAAGGTACAACCAACAGCCGTGTCTGAGGAGCGGAGAAGGGCGGTCATCGATTATGTCCAGAGGTTGGTCCGAGGATCCCTTGGCTGTGAGGTTAGATTTCAATTGATATTTTAATTATTTATTTATCAATCTCTTTCATTTTAGCGGCAATTGAACTTTTAGTTCGATATCGTTTATGGTAAGGGAAAAGAAACAATTTTTTGAAGTCGATTTTGCTTGTTAGTTGGAGGGAATATTTCTGTTGCTGGAAAAAGTAATTCCAAATCATGTGTAATAATTCCAAACTTTTATATAATCTCGAGTTGTTTTGTCTTCTGCCTTCTATTCTAAAATGTTCTTGAGTTGTTGAGCTGCCAAATGTTATAGGGCATTCCTTCAATTCTATAAGTATTCCTAATTCTGTATTAGATTATGTATGTCTAAGAAGTTTTTGACCCAGTTGCTAAAGATTAAAGCTTAATAACGTGGAAGGGTTGTATCACTGGAATTTGAATTTATTTATATTTTAGTTGATTAAAACAAATGGTTTGTATGTTCCATATACTTAAAGCGGCTTTCATATATTGATTTTCATTGCATGTGATTTGGCTTTTTACATTAGACAGGCTTCTACAATCTCTAGAGTATTTCTGTTTTTTTCTTTCTATCCTTTAAAAGCGTAAAATCTTTCGTGAGTGGTGCTGCAAAATTCTTCTGGTGCAAAACTGTTATGATGGATAAGTTCATAATTTTATGTTTTCTTTCCTTTGGGAATTGAGTGATCCTTAAAGTAGCTAGTTTTGGAAAAGTTATGTTTACTTTTTTGGCAAGTGCAAGAAAAGCCATCCTTCCTATTCAACAAAGTATGGAGGTATTATGATATCAAGTGTCCTAGACTCCTAGGCATTTGAATTGCATCATGATAGTGTGGAAACTGTATATACTGGTTGGTGAACACTGGATATACTTTGTACCTCAGGGTGACTTGTGCTGAGCATGAGGACTATATTCCACCACTGTAGTCTGGAGTCCTGGGGGTTAAGTGTTTGTGCATGTTTTGGGTTAGTAGTTTTGGGTTCTAAGAGGCATGTATAGGCAATATGAACCTGCTGCACCCAATTGACAAAACAACATTATGTCCATGATCATTACTTTTTCTTTCAGTCAGTAGTCTAATCTCTTGTTTGTTGTTATTTTTCACAGTGAATGTTATCATGAATCAATTTCAGGTATTCCCTTATGGATCTGTGCCGCTAAGAACCTATCTTCCGGATGGTGACATTGACTTGACTGCCTTTGGTGGTCCGATGATGGAGGATGCATTGGCTAATGATTTGGTATCACTTCTTGAAGAAGAAGGGAAAAATAAGAGTGCAGAGTTCATAGTAAAAGATGTGCAACTCATTCGTGCTGAGGTGTTGATTTCTCTCAAACACTATAGTTTAGACATTTATGAAACATGTTTATTCTGGTTATGCCGTTATGGATCTTTTATTTTTTATATACTGTGGCATAAGGAAACATGTGTAAAATAGATGATTAGTTCCACATTGTAATGAACAGAGTAGATGGAGGAGACAGTCACAAGGTGTCAGTGATATATTAACTCAGTGGGACAACAACAGTTAGTACTTTTTGTGTTTGAGATGCAGTTGAAGTAACAACCTTGTTTTATGCAAAATACGTCCTGCAAACAAGCTGACTTTTCCTCTCACCTTGTCCCATTTTTATGTCCTATACTCTTATTTATAGCTTACTTAGCTAGTCAACTTTTCCTTCTTAGTTTATTTTCTTTTATTCATCACATTTTCAAATTTCACTATTAATGATTAATAAGCTTTCTAAATAGTTTTTAAATATTTAAAATATTAATGTTACACCTGTTGGTTTTGTATGGAGTCTAAGAGCCCGTTTGGTAGCACCAAAATCGGCTGATTCTGCTGAAATTTATGAAGTTCTGGTTGAAGTGGCTGCATTGGCTGATTCTGCTGATTTAAGAAAAAATTATTTTTAAAATATATTTTATTAATAAAATAAAAAAAAATTATATGTAAAATAGCTAAAATGATCATCTACATTAACTTCAGCCAATACAACTAGAAAAGTAACTCCAACCTTACTTTTTCTGCTTATTACACAATTCAGCGCACGAAAGCAAAAGTTACGTGTTTGGTGAAAAGGTTGGCTGATAAGCCGAAAAACAGTGTTGCCAAACGGCCTCCAAGAGTAAAAGAATAGAGTAGTGAATCGTGATAAAGCAGAAGACCTTAGAGGAGATAGTAGATAATTTACTATAAAGCAGAAGACCTTACAAAATAGTAGAAGTATGAAAAAGAAGATGCAAAGTAAGGTAAAAGTTGCCAAAAAGAAATATAATGCAATTAAACTACTATAGTGGGAGTATTTACTAATACTATCTTGAATACCACACTGTAAATAGTTTGAGTCCAGAATCATTATCCAAACAATCTTCATAAGCTGGGAGGTAGGGTGTGTAATTTTCATTTTCTGTGTGCAGAGAAGGTATTTATAAGTCACTAACTTGTTGCAAGTCACTGTATTTTTTTAAGTAAAGAACCATATGCTACTCAGTATTTATTAAAGAAAGTTAGCTAATGCTAAAATAATGCAAATTAGTCATTTGTCGATGCAAGCCCGTTTGGTTAGGGTGAACTTTGCTGAAATGAGTGAAGTGCTTAACTTGCTGAGTTATTTAAAAAATATTAAAAAATAAAATCTCAACCACTTACCAATTACAAGAAAAGGGCTGTCCATTGCCCATTGCCGTCCCTGCACGTCAAGGGCTCGGGGGAGAGTCCCACCATAAGGGTGTACAATGGGCATTTCTTTCCTATTCATTTTGACTAGAGGCTGCTCCCAAGACTTGAACCCGTGACCGCTCGGTAACACAGCAACACCTTAACCGGTGCGTCAAAGTCTCTTCATTTAAACCAACTATTTTTTAGATAAAAAGATGGTAGAAGAGTCATCTTCATTTGTTTCAGCGACTTCAATAAAAGTACCTTCTGCACCTATGTTTTTCCATTAGCAAAATAGCAATTATTTCAACCAGCATTTGGTTAAAATGTGGCTGCCAAGGTTGATAAGTGGAAGTAAGAGATCATGGATCATGCAATATAATTATTTTCTTCCGGTTTTCTGTTTTAGTCCACTTTTTAAACTATCATAACCGTTTTCTTTTAAACATTTTATATTTTGATCCAATTTACTGATGTTTCATTGTATTGTGGAAGGTCAAGCTTGTGAAATGTATCATACAAAATATTGTTGTTGACATTTCCTTCAATCAGATAGGTGGTCTATGCACCCTGTGCTTTCTGGAACAGGTGAATCGACTTTTTTTTTTTTTCTAAATTGAAATTACTTATCATTGAAACGGACAGTTGATTATGTTTCTCTTTCATGAGTGTATGCTTAGATGTTTGAATTGCATTTTGTTTGTACGGGTCTATTGTATAGGTTGATCATCTCATTGGCAAAGATCATCTTTTTAAGCGCAGTATCATATTAATCAAGGCGTGGTGCTATTATGAAAGTCGTATTCTTGGTGCTTATCACGGCTTGATATCTACTTATGCTTTGGAGACTCTTGTTTTGTACATCTTTCATCTGTTCCACTCCACACTAGATGGACCTTTAGCAGTAAGTCTCTAGAGACAGATATATCACATGTTGTTTTAGCATTTGTTGACTATAATGACTGAAAGTTCTATAAATTTAAGGTTCTATACAGATTTTTGGAATACTTTAGCAAGTTTGAATGGGAGAAGTATTGTATTAGCTTAAGTGGTCCAGTCCTCATATCATCTTTGCCGGAAATTGTGGGTAAGAGACTTTGGCATTGTGGTCATTCATTAATGCTTTGATTTATTTCATCAAGATGATGAATTTCTTCTTGTGCAGCCGAGGCACCTGAAAATGATGGCAGTGATTTACTGCTCAGCAGTGATTTTCTTGTATATTCTGCCGTAAAATTTTCAGTTCCCTCTAGAGGCGTTGACACGAATTCTCGAACTTTTGCACTTAAGCATCTTAACATAGTTGATCCTCTAAAAGAAAATAATAATCTTGGACGCAGTGTCAGCAAAGGTAAGAATAAAGTCAACTTCTCATAAATTCTGTTTTTGTTTGGACTGAAGATTGGTTGAGAATTATAGCATGTAATTGTGGTGAATTACAACTTGACTATGTCCATTGTTTGGAAGATTGGCTTGTCAACAATTACTACTTGAGGATTTATATTCAGTTTGTTTGGTTTTTTGGAATGGAAAGGGATATAAACAGTTAAGTAACATAAATAATAAAATGCTCAGTCACTCTAGGAATAGTATACATTGTGATTATGTAAAACAGTTCTATTGTTTTTTTTATCGTAACAGTTCTATTGTTATAATAAGGATAATTTTATATAGAACTCATGAATAGTTAATTACAGTCTTCCCCAGGGTTGACTATTCTTGACGATCTTTCCTTTTCCATAACTGATGGAAAAGGAATAATTTACACTGGATTATTAAATGAATGAAATGCAAGAATAGGTCTATTTCGGTGAATGCCTCTCTGTTTGTGACTTGTTCTGCCAACCATTCAGGTCATGTAAAGAAGTATCGTAAAATTTAGCAAGCATGCCAATATGCTCGCTGAGGAGCATGTTGGCGTGATGGGTGGTGGGGGTAGTCCCACCTCAAAAAAATGGACCCATTTCTTCGAGGAGGGATAGTCCCCACCATTTATCAAGTACGTTAACATGCTCCATGCCTTCATATATATTTTGAAGAAAGTACAGGCAAAATATATACTGTTACTACTTACTAGTGTATCTATACTTCCCAAACCAAAACAGGTCAATTCAGCGAACCATCCCAATATCCTATTATGGTTGCCAATACTCAAATTCAGAAGTGTTTCTTGCTTAGATTGTGGAAGCTCTATTTGTTTAAACTAACATAATGGTTCCCATCTGCATTTCTTTTTGCAGGAAATTTCTTTCGAATACGGAGTGCTTTTGCATATGGTGCTAGGAAGCTTGGGAGAATACTTCTGCAGTCAGATTATAAAAATATTGTTGATGAACTTTGTAAATTTTTTTCAAACACATTGGACCGGCATGGGAGTGGAAAGAGGCCGGATGTTCGGGATTTTACTCCTCCACAAAGTGCCTCCAATGTTGTCTCCCATACATATGCTGCTTTGGATATCAATTCATCTCAAGTTGAGAAGATCAATTATAGACTAAAATCCTGTGACCTGACAAGCACTAGCAGAGATAGAGATCAAGAGTGCACCATAGATGCATACAAATCCAAGCATGCTTCGGTGACTGATTGGTGTATAGCAGGGGATGTATTGGACCATCGTCTGCTTGGAGATGCAATGGAACTTGCCAGCTCAATACATGAAGACCTTAATTATTCAAACCATTTGCACACATCTTGTCCTATTTACCCACCTCATGTCCACCTTAATAGATCCACAAGCAATGGGGATGTCAAATGGGGGAACTCAGATGGAAAGCATAAAGGCTATTTTTCTGGGTTAAGCTTAAAACAAAGCTCCAATGACGGAAAGGGCTTGGAGAAGAATCTTTCAATCAATAATCATGACTTTTTTATTCCCTCTGTAATAAAAGATGCTCCTTTGGTCACCAAAACACCTGGTTCCTCTAATGGCTCACATCACATGGAACAAGACTGGCCTAAAACAATTAATGGTGCAAGTATGCAGTCTTTGCATTCATTGCTGGATCTTAGTGGCGACTTCAACTATTATTTCAACTGTCTGCAATATGGCAGATGGTGTCATGAGTACACTTCAAACATACTAACTTTCCCTGCTCCTACGTCACCATCATCTTCACTGTACGTTACATATTCATGGGATTCAGTTCAGCAGCCAATACAGGTCAAAAGGAATGGCTTTCTCCATGGGAGTGTCAACAGTATTATTCCTAGTCAAGCCTTCTATACAGTGAACCCTCTGTCAGTACCCAGTCTGGCTTTTGGCTTAGAAGAGATTCCAAAACCACGGGGAACTGGAACTTACTTTCCGAGCATGGTATGCAATTTTGCTATACTGTTGGATCACGTGGATACTTATAAATAATTCTTTGGCTCTATGCAAGCAGAGCTTAATGCCTGTTTGATGACCATATTTTTTTTGGCACATCGGTAGATTTTTTACCAAACACTATCTTTTAATTTTATGTGCTGAATTGGTTAATAATGATAAAAGCAAGCGTGGGGGTACTTTTTTAAGAAAATAAATGGGATAGTTGATATTTTACAATTGTAACCCCCCAAAAGGAGGAAAAAGTAGGCTTATGGAAAGTAAAATGTAAAAAGATAGGTAAAAGGATGAAATTAGAAAGAAGTTAATAGAATTCAAATTGGGATATTGTTTATATTTTTAGTATAGACAAACAAGAAAGTTTATCTCATAATACATTTTATGTGTAATTTTTTTCATAATTCAATAGGTTCAGCCAATTTAGTCATTATAGTCATAATTGCAATTTGCAAGCAATTTCATCAAATTTTAGTCTTTTCAAACGAACTCTTAATGATGAATCTGTGTTGTCTGTTGTCTTGTGTCAGGCGGTAACAATAATTGCTTGATAAGAGCTTTATGCATTAACTTTTTGCAGAGTCAATCTCCCAAAGGTTATAGATCATCTTCATCTTGGAAGGGAAGGAGTCAACCCACGACAAGGTCTCCTCGGAACACAAATGGAAGGAATGCACAGCCATTTACCGAGACATCTACACATGAGAGAAGCAGCCATGAACAACCACCACAACCAGAATCGCCACATGCTGCTTCTGATCAAAGTGTTATAAATCAGTCAGCTTCACCTCGTGGCAGCGGGGCACACCCTAGTGTCAATAAGATTGACCTAGTGTCCCACTCTGAGGGAGCTACAACTGGTTTTGGGTCAGTTGAGGATATTCCAGCAAGGGCTTTCTCGTTAGAACAAAGCCGGCAAAGAAGGCATTCCCATACACCACCTTTACAACATCCCACTCCATCTTCTCCTACTTTGAGGTCAAATCTATCAAAACCAACCTCTAGTCGGGATCATGGTGGTAATAGTGTATAACACACTAATATCTGTAATTTATTTCTCCGCCTTTTCCCTTTTCGTGTGTGTATGTAAGAAAGAGCATTCTTACTGCAAGAAGCTTCCAGGGTTTAACCGGACCTTCCCACGACCCTGCGATACTTTATACGAGTCATTCCTTAAGGTACGACGTGCCTTGTATGGTTTTCTTGGTTTAGACTGAAGGGCTCCTGTTGGTCGGCGTACCAGGAACACCCTTCAAATATCGGACCTTGTAAGTAGGGAGGGGTTTATAGGTCTTTTGCTAACTAAAGAAATCTTGAGCCCGTGAATTTCTCAGTGGCTCCTACAGTGTTTGTAATTTGTAATCAAAGGATTCCTGTAACATTTAGAACTAATTAATCTTCACCAGCTTCAGTGCAATTGGTTCATGTAAGGCCTTGTCTAACGTTGAATAATCTCTTACTCTGCAAAGTCCACTGTCCCTTGCATTGAACCTAAGGTATTTTGTTAAGGTAGTGTATATCACAATGCTGCAATTATTATAATATTCACAAGAGGGAAATGATATTAAGATCATTGTGGAGTATATATTCAGATGTTATGGTTATTGGATATCCAGCTAACCAGCTTATGCAAATGAGCACATTTTGATGAAACTGAGCAACCATCATTTACAAATTGGTATCCTTGGAGGAAAAGATAATAATAATAATAATAATAATAATAATAATAATAATAATAATAATAATAATAATAATAATAATAATAATAATAATAATAATAATAATAATAATAATAATAATAATAATAATAATAAAACATAAACACAGGCAAATAGAAAGAAATGAACATCTATTAAAAAGAAAGATTAGAAATTCAGAATAAAAAGCAATGTGCACATGGGCCCTAGCAGAGATGAATGGAAGATGCAGGTAGGGTAGAAGCATTTGTTAGAAAATGTGTAGAGAATTTCTTGTTATCATTTGGCATTTTGGCATAGCTAGGGAGAGAAGTTGTGCAATGGAATGAATTTGTTAATAAAAATAAGCACATAGAGATTTATATAAGACACATTAGTCCAAACAATAGTGAATTGAATTACAATGTATAAATATATGATAAGGGTATGTTTGGGAGTTGTGTTGTGGAGGGGGGGGGGGGGTGAGGAGGGTTTGTGACCTCTCTTTTCTTATGTGAGAGTTTAAAAGATCGGAAGGATTGATTTTAGAGAGGTTTTTTTACACTTCAAAACCGTCAAATGCTGATTTTTTTTAAGATCCCTCAAATTGAATGTTTTTGAATGATAATTAATTATTAAATGATAACTGAATATAAGTTCAACTATTTAAATTTGTCATATCTTTGATTTGATTTTAATTATATTTCCTCCTTAGATTCTCTCTATTCAAATTTGTAACTCTCAAATAAGAAAAAGATTTTCCCCCTTCTCCTCCTAAAACTAACCTTCCAAGCCTTCTCATTCCTTTCTCTCCAAAACTCCAAAAGGAAAGGCGAAAATTATACTCTGGAACTTGGGGGAATGTCAATTGTTGATGGAGCAACTGGTTGCTAGAGAAATTTTATTGGAGCACCATGTGGTGGGGCTCTATATTTGCATAAAAAAGAAACATAGCTTCTTGTGCTGGAGCAATTGTGTTTAAAGAAGAATTGTACTCCGAAGAAAATGTTAAGCATCTTGTGCTAAAAGTCTAGAGCTTATTTGGTGAGGCAAATGAGCTGAAGGATCAAATTTAATTTGCATTTAATCATAAAGGTTCCAATACCTTGTAAAAATGGTAGACGGGTGAATAACATAATATTAAACAGAGTACAAATAAATTTGCAAAGAACACACAAGTGACAACTCTAGAGACTGATAAGAAAGTGAATCCTTAAATGTTCCTACTTCGAAAACATTGAATTTACAAAGAACGAAAAAGAACACACGGACTTAGTGAACATACTTCGAGGAGTAATCTGACAGTTTTCCCTAAATATTATCAAAACATTCCAAATTTAATGTTATAATAATGTAGGGCCAACCTGAACCGTGGCCAACTCATGTAGAGGTAACTTTTCGCAAAAGATAAAAAAATTCTATACATGCAAAACTTTAGAGTTGTAATGAAATTTTTTTACCCACCTCAAATTTAATTTTTATAGAACATGATTGTTGCAACACTTTTCTGGACAAATTTTAGTGAATTATAAGTTCTTATTCAATCATCTTTTATGAGTGAGTTATAACTATTTGTACAATTTATAATGAATGTGAGCCTCCTACATAAGGCCGCCTTACAATTAAATTGTTTGCACTTATAAAATCAATAATTCTTAGTGTACACGTAATTTGAATACTTGACATACATTTGTATATAATTGTCTGTGCGTACAGACAATTGCTGCATGAGATGGTTGTACACATTGTCTGTGTGTTCAAACAATTGCGTACAAATGCATGCATATCAAGCGTGTATAAATTTCTATGTACAAATAGAAGTTTTTTTACGATGGTGTTTCTTCTTAGAATATGTTTTGTTTGCTATTTTTTCGCTTTAAACATTAGTCTTCAAGCACAGATTTTAGATCCTACATTGTTTTTTTTACTCCAGAGGGCGTCTGGAGAGCCTGGAGTAAATTGGGTTGCAACTCACTCCATTGAGTTTCGAACCTGAGACCTCCCATAAGGGAGAGTGAGTTGGCGACCTGCTGAGCTGAACCGCTTCCTCTCCTAGATTGGTACATGTCCATAGATGCTATCATGGGTTATGTATGTAGGAGTGCACATACATATATACTCCCTCCGCCCCATTAGGAGGTTCCAATTGCGGTTTACGATACTTGATTGACGATAAAACAACTTAATCCCTGTTCACACTCTGATTATTTTTAGTAAATAAAATTTACATATTCAGAAACTACATTAAAACCACTACAAAGCCTGATAAAACAAATGTAAGTTTGATAAAAATATGATATATAAAATAAAAGATTAATAGTGATTTAAGTTGATCACTTAAATGGGATCGAGGGAGTATTAAACATATAGCCGTTTGGCTAGTAAAACTAGATCCATGGAAAATTTGATATAATGCATCACCCGCCCATACTTCTGGTCTAGGCAGCACTATGAACAATAAAATCCATCATATCACAGAAGTTAGTTGTCAAACAATTCCACTACCACTTGCAAGTTGCAACCTAGCTGTATTAACTACAGTATTTAACTCTTTGACTTTTGTCACGCCTCTTTTATCACATAAATAAAATTAAAAGAACGTTCTTAATTAATTACATTAAACTATCAATCGGGCCGATTTTGGAGTTTGTATATGGTAGGTAGGTAGTGTTTGCAATTGCTTTAACTTAAAAAAATGATTTTTTAAAGTGATTTTGGAAAAAATGATTAATAATAAAAGTTGATAGTGTTTGAGAAAAAAGTGATTCTGAAAAAGTAAAAGTTGGTAGTGTTTGGTAAAATAAGTACTTTTTTGTGTAATAGAAAAAGTGAAAAGCAGTTTAAAGCATCTTTCTACATGCTTCCAGTTTTTAGCTTTTAAGTGATTAATTTAAATAGAAGCTGTCATTTGAAAACACTCTTTTTAGCTTTTTTTAAGCCAAAAGCTGAAAAACGATTTTTTAAGCAACCACAAACACTCCTGTAGTATGATCAGGTAAAAAGTAATTATTATTGTTTTATTGAATTCATAATGAGTGTGTTATATGAGAAAAATGAAAAAAGGTGTATACTACATACTTAGTACTCCGTACTATTTTTTTTTAAATAAGGATGTTTTCAGAGTTTCAATCTCAGATCAAATAAAATCAAACTCATCAAACTTATACGAAGTATATAATACGAGTAGTAAAATGAATTTAAAATTAAATTGGCCTAAATCAAAGTAGACTTAATTAGGGAGTGTATACATTTCGCATGTATATAAAAATGACTAGTAGTTGAAAAAAATGTCATATGTATTTGCAAAGGAAAATGATTTTGTTAAAGAAAAAATTCGTGTTTGGAATAAAAAGTGTTATTTGTATAATAGAGAAAATGAAAAATAAGGCAAAAAACATCTACCCCTCGTTTAGATTTTAGCTTTGAGATGCTTAATTTAAATAGAATCACGAACATATTTGCAATACTAATTTTAGCTTAACTTTTTAAAGCTTAAATTAAACTTGCAAAATATTTTTTTAAACAACTGCATGCAATGATGCAAATACTCCTTCAAACAGACAATAGTAAAATTTCAATTGTAAGTCAAATTAAAAGCTTCTCTCCATAGTGTGAAAAGTTTCATTAATTTCCCCCACTTTAACCTCTTTATGGCCTACCTTTCTACCATTTCTTCATTTCTTTTTTCGCACTTTCTATACTTCATATCCTTGCCTTTCATATTTTTCTATCGTAATCACTATCCGTCTATCCCCTAATATTTTCTGAATTAATTAATGTGAAATACTTAATTAGCTAGCGTTGCCTCTAGTTTAATTAAGAAAAGAAACTTTCATCTCACATGCCTAGCCCTAGTATAAATATCTGTCCGATCCCGTGATATATTCTAAGTCCAATATTAATATCCTTACATACATATTAGTATACTCTAAGCTTAAATTTTTTAGTGTTAAGATAAGCTTCAATAATCAATACATACAGCTCATGGAAAAGATTAATGGGGTTGTACTTCTCGCTTGCATGGCTGTACTCCTTTGCATGCAGCGGCATGCAGAAGGAGCAATCACGTGTACCCAATTACACTATTCTGTGATGCCCTGTCTTCCCTATATCATCGGCCGGAATAACACTTTTCCTGAATGCTGTTGCAATGCTGTCAAGATGATCGAAACCGCTATCGCGACAAAAGCCGATCGCCGGTCCGTTTGCCGGTGCTTGAAGGCGGCGGTTTCAAATGGGATGGAGGTCGGAAAGGCCAATAAGATCATATACCAATGTGGAGTCTCCCTTCCTTACAAAATCAGCAATTCCACCGATTGCCATATGTATGCATGTAAGTACTTCTCTCACTATATCTCTTCCAAATATTGAATTGAATTGTGCAATTCACCTTTATCATAGTGTAGTATAAGTAATGCTCTTATTGGAGTGGCCTTTTACAGGGACGGAGCCTTAAAATTTGGGTAAGCCATGCCGCCATGGCCTAGGTTGGCCCACCCCTAACTCCGCATGAACTTTTATTAATGTTGATAATTGTTTCGAATATCTTGTATTTTCAATGAAAAGTTTTGCTCAATATTGAGTAAACTTTTCTATGTATGAATGAGAGGACTTTTTGAGTATTATAAGGCTCTGTTTGCAAACACAACTAGAAAAGCACTTCCCAGCTTTTGGTTTAAAAAAGCTAAAAAAGATGTTTTCAAATGACAATTTCTACTTAAATGAATTACTTAAAAGCTAAAAGCTAGAATCTGCTTTTTACTTTTTTATTACACAAAAACACTTATTTTACCAAATAACACCAACTTTTACTTTTCAAAATCACTTTTTTCTCAAACACTACCAACTTTTACTATTAATTACTTTTTTACCAAATTATTTAAAAAAGTTAAAAGCACTT